CTCTCTCTCTCTCTCTCTCTCTCTCTCTCTCTCTCTCTCTCTCTCTCTTTGTTTTTCCTTTGCTTACACTTTGACTATGGATGTTTAGTTAATATTGATCTGGCTGAAAACTACTCACTTGTGCTCACATGGACACCAAGGAGAGTGAGGAAACCCTTGCACTAATGAGGCATTGAGCAACTCTTGGGTCCACAGGTTTCTGAGAAGCATTCTTGCTAGCAGATCTTTGCAGGCCTTGGCAGCCAGCTGCATTGGCGCTCTGTCAATGTTATGCTTAGAACTCTAAGTTGACTCTGGGGGTGGAGGGTAAAGCTGTTGTCAGAGAGTGGGACATTAGTATAGCAATTATAAAGCTTTATCCTTGAAAGTCAAGACTGCATGAACCCCTCCTATTATATGCAAATGCCTTGCCTGGAAATTGATTCCAAAGGAATAAGGCAGGGAACAAAGACTGTAGACATGAAGATATTCCTTGCATTATTAGCTGCAGTGGAAAAACTTGAAAGCTGGTCAAAAGCCAAAGTGAAGCTTTTGTGTGGGGTTTGCAGGTATTAAAAGTAATTGCTGGATGGGGTTATAGATTAATGATAGAGTACTTGCCTAGCATGCATGAGGCCCTGCATTCCATTCCCAGCACTGAAAATATTTTAAAAAATGATTGCTATTAACATGAGTAGACAAATGAGAATGATGCAAGATGTCTAGGAGGAAAGAGTGATACAGGGACTATTGGGGGGAATTCTGGACCACTGAAATGGACAGGAAGTGAGGTCCTCAGTGACTTGATGCGGTCTGAACTATGAGTCTCAGGTAGTCAGCCAAGCACAGAATCACCCTAACCAGTCTCACAAAGACTAATGTGTAAACCAGACACAAGCCAAAATATGCAAAAGAAGACCTCTTTGCGCAAAATGTGGCCCCTGGAAAGGGAAGATTTGCTTTGTGAAAATGAAGTTGGGGGGGCTGGTGAGATGGCTCAGTGGTCTAAAGCACCTACTTAGAACAAGCTTAGCAAAGCACAGGGACCGCGGTTCAATCCCCCAGCACCACATGCCAGCCAGCCGCGCCCCCTGGTGGGCTGAGCTGGCCACACACATGCACACACACACACACACACACACACACACACACAAATAAATAAAAAAAATTAAAAATAATAAAAAAAAAAGAAAATGAAGTTGGGGGAAAAAAGAAAGAAAGAAAATGAAGTTGGATGACCTCTCGCTGGGAGACTCTCAGACCTCTGTGGGCCTCAAGTTTCTCACCTACCAAATGGGAATAACAAGAGTGCTCAGCATACAGAACTGTGGTGGTGACGGTCAGAACTTTGGAGGGCATCAGTGCTGGGAGACACTCACCTTGGGGATGAGCCATCCAAACTCGTGATTATTGACACCCACGAGGAAGGGCACAGGGTGGAACTTCCTCTCCTTCAGGAGCTCCTCAGGGCTTTTGGGGAAGAAAGAGCCATCGATGGTGTAGGAAGGGATTACCATTTTCTGCAGGAGAAAGCAAAGCAGGATCCCATATCCCCACCTCAAAGCCCCTGTCAGGTCCAAGCCTCAAGGGATAAGGTTCCAGGAGTGACTTAGCTATGTGTCTGAGTGGCTGAACCTTCAGGGAAAATGAGGATATGGAAATGACTGGAGTTGGAGGCCCAGAGGGAGTCAGGAGACCTGAACAAACACTGCTTCCAAGCAGATCCAGGGTCCAGAAGACAGGACCAACACTTAGGGCAAGGGGCAGCCCTCAGCCCCTTCCTGTTGTGGGTGGCTGCCTTAAGCCCCATTCAGGACAGGTGACTTCCTATCTGTCCCTGCAGGAGCTGGACAGGAGCCCTTCTGGGTTCTGCCTGTCACCATCCCCAAAAGGTGGCATACCGATTCTTTGCTAAGGATCAGCTCCTGTGCTTCTTTCTGCTGAAGGCACTGCACCACTTCAGATGGGGAGTTGTAGCTGCAGGCCAATGAGTCCGCAAGGCTCTGGAGACAGGAAAATGTTTTATCTCTTCTCAGCCCCCTCTGTCTTCCTTCCCATGGAAAGGAGTGCATCCGTAAGACTGAGCTGTGGTGTCATAAGTATAGATAAGCCTGGTCAAAGATCTGCCATCACCTATGGAAGCCCTTCCTTACCCTCTGTGTATCTCAATGACACCAAAACTGTGAACTGTGACTAGCCTCTAAGAACTCTCTCTCTCTCTCTCTCTCTCTCTCTCTCTCTCTCTCTCTCTCTCTCTCTCTCTCTCGGTTTTCACTGTGTAGTTCACTCTGGTCTTCAACTTACTGTGGAGCCCAGACATGCTTCAACTGGTAGCAATCCTCCTGCCTCAGTTTCCCAAGTGCTGGGATTGTCTGCACATGCTACCATTCATGGCTGTGTTGAAGACAGCGTGGGAGCACATTTCCCCTCTGAGAACTGTGTCCTTTTCTGTGTAATCATCGTTTGTGGAGTAATGATGGAAAAAGGGGTTGGACAGGGAGGGCATCAGTGGGGGCATGCTCTGATAGGGAATGGTGGGAATGCTGAGGCTGGAGTAGGGCCAGGAGGTTGTTGGGAAGTGAGGTTGGAGGAGCAAATGAGCTTCAGGCTATCCAGGAAAGGACCTTGAGTTCATAGTGGAGACAGTCTCTCTCAGCCACAGTGAAGCAATGGGTGCAGAGACTGCTGCTCATATGCAGATAAGAGGCAATGCGCCCTGCTGAGGCTCTCAAGTCCTCTTGTACCTAGTGGTTACAGTGCCCAGTCTGCTCCTCCACTGCAGCTGGGAGGGGGGTGGACCGGGGTGAGGTCACTGATGCAACCTTCCATCAGTCTCTCTCTCAAGCCCATGGCAACCCCATGCCATCACTGTCTCTTGCCTGGACTCTGCTTTGACTGTCTATATGGCCTCTCCACTTCCAAGATTGCTCTCTCCAGCCCATTCTCCACTCCAGGTAGCTCAGACATGTTGCTGCCCTGTTTCTTCCTGCCTTCTGATCCAATAGAGATTCCTGGCATAGCCCTTGAGTTCCTTCCTGCTCCCAGGACCACTGCACCTGAACAGGTGCAATGCTTATTTGGGAAAAACCTCTGTGGCATCCTCTGACGACTTCTCAAAAGGCCCTCAGTGAGGACTGAAGGTGGGATCTGGAGGCTGAATGGAGGTCTTAGGCAGCAGGGGATGGGAATATAGGGACTCCCCAAGCATTCTTGGGGAGAGGTGTGCTCTCTAAGACCCTAGCCTGGGGAACTGGCCAGAGACAATGCTCAGGGGTGACTTCCTACAAGTGGAGTAATGATGGAAAAAGGGGAAGTGAATCATGATTGCCCATGCCCAGGAACACATTGTTGTTTACTCTGAGCTTCCACAGGAGATGTGTTTTCTTTATCATAGCGGGCCCCTCTCTGAAGCAAGGACCTTTCTATGGGTGACCATTCCTGACTCTGAGACCTGTGGGTCAGCACCTGTTGGGATGTGGGGAACACATGAAATAAGAATGAAGGAAATGTAGACCTGAACTTTGGGCCATGAGTCAGATGCAGTTAGAAACGGGGAAGAGATGACCCCACTCTGTGCTATGGCTCTGTGGAACAGTCCTGTGGCCATCGGAGATAGGACCTGTGTGCATCAGAGAGGACATTCCATTGTCAGCAGAAGGCACAGGAGAGGTCTGGGGTCCCAGACACAATTGCTAGCTGCTTGTGGCAACTCACCAGGGCAGAGACGATACTGGCACCTGAAGATCCACCAAAGATAGTGACACAGTTGGGATCACCCCCAAAGGGAGTGATGTTCTTCTGCACCCACCGTAGAGCAGCTACCACATCTAGGAAGCCTTGGTTTCCAGGTGTATGTTTGTCCCCAGTGCTAGGGGTAGGGTGAGGTAGTGGTTAGTTTAAGTTGATTCCTTGGGTTTGGTAGGTTCACTTTGAATCAGTTGTGAAAAAGTTGACTCTTTTCTACTCTCAAAGTCTGGCCTGGGTCTGAGTCATGCTTCTTGTCTACATGCCCAGTCTGTGGAAAGGGCAGGCCTAGCAGGACAGCCAGCTCAAGTGGACTCTAAGTTGGTTGCCAAAGCTTGTTGCTTTTTGCCCCCTTCCCTATTGGAACATGGGCTCTCTCCCAGAGGACAATATCCATTGACTAAGGGACCAGTATATAATTCTGGCTTTATTTGGGCCCCTCCCCCAAGATAAACTTTAGGGGCAAAATTCTTTTTATTTTGCAATACTGGGGATTGAACCCACAGCCTTCACATTGGGCTAAATACCCAATGCTTTCTTTCTTTTTTTAGTTCAAGGCAAAGTGTTGCCAATTCATTAAAATGCTCAGAATGAGCCTGACTTTGTAATCCTTCTGTCTTAACCTCCCAAAGTGCTAGGATTACAGGTGTACCCTACTATGCTTAGACTGCATCAGCTTCTATTCAAGATAGCAGTGGTGCAGGCCTTCCATTCAGTCTCTGGACCTTCACTGTAGGTTATTTTTTGTTGTTGTTGGAAGTCAGTGTTCTTCCAGGCTAACTGTGTCACCTGAAGAAGCCAAGGATCCCAAGGCGGTACTGAACTGTGACCACTACCACATCTTCATAGGCAGCCAGGGCTGATCCATCCTGGGAGGTAGCAGAGCCTACCATCAGTGAGCCTCCATGGATCCACACCATGACCTGCAGAGATGGCCATGAGACAGTGATCCCTAGTTCCCAGGACCCCAGCTGCCCATCTACCAGCCTAGGGCATTTTCAGGACCCGTGGAGTGGTTTGGAGAACTGGGACTGGGAGGAAGAGATGGGCAAGGTGGAGCTGAATAGGTGAATGGGTCTCTCTGGGCTGTATACCGGCTTTCTGGCCTTTTCAGTAGCCTCAGCTGGGCTGTAAATGTTGAGGACCAGGCAGTCCTCAGAAATAGAGAAGATTTTATGTTTTCCATTGACTGAGAATCTGCTATTGTTCATTCTCTCTATGTCTTGCATGCACCTGCAGTCAAGAAGGAACCAAGGGATAGCTGGTCAGCCCCACCCACATTGGCAGCTAGACCCCCTGACCCCCAACCTGTTTGCTTTCCCACCTCCATTCAGGCTACTCACATCGGGGGATCAGTGCTGGCATACCGTACACCTTCCCAGGGCTGTGCTGGCAGTGGGGCAGAGAACCTGAGAGGCCCCAGTGGTGGCTGTGCAAATGGGATGCCCAGGAAGACATTCACAAGGCGGTCTGTGCCTTTCACGCCCACCTGCCGGCCTTGCACATAACCCAGAGGGGTGTCCACTTCAGGCTGAGAAGTTTGTGGCTCTGAGGGCAGGACAGAGGACCATAGGGTGAGTTTTCTTTTCTTACTTTCTTTTCTTTCTTTCTTTCTTTTTTTCCCCCATAGGGCAAGTTTTCAGCCTCTATGAGTGAACTCTTGGAATGAAGGAAACATTTGCTCTCTGAGCGCCTATTCTGCCAGCCTGTGTTTTGAGCATCTTTGACAACAGAATCTTGCTAACCTCCCCAGAAGGCCTCTGAGCTGGGCCCTGTGACTCCTCTGACTTTCTTGTCCCTGCATTGACATCACCCACAGCCCCTTCACCCAAACCAGATCTGCTGTGGGTCCTAGGGGTTTGGGCCAAGTACTTTTCACTTGAACCTCAGATGATATCTCTCCTACATAATGTATAATAATCATATCTTTACTCTGCATTCTGATTGGTCGATATCTAGAGCCTGGCAGATTCTCCCAGGGATAGCCAAAACAAGGCATTTGCTTGTGAGATGAGCTAGGGCTACATTCCAGCCCAACTTGCAGGCCTGGCTACTATCTACTAGCCTTGATCACGCTAGGGCCTTTAACCAGGTGACTAGGAACAGTCCTCATCCTCCAAATCCCATTGATATTATTCATATCAGTCAATCCTAAATCTGATTAGTCTGCTTCCCCTATTCCTGCCCGTGGAAACAATAATAAACACTCCTGCCCACATTTCCCCCTTGTTCCCACTGCCACTTCCTCTGTGTCCTTATGGAGTGAGGTGCCTCTGGTTTCCAGGGTACTGAGTATACTTCTTTCATTGTAGCTATCCTTTGTATATCTGCTTATCTTGTCATACCCGATTGATGTAAATCCTGGGTCTTCCTAAAAAATAAGGACAATTATGTCCCTGAGCAGAACTGCTCTGGAAATTACACAGACAGCAAAGGCAGAGCCCTGGCCCAGAAAGGATGTGCAATCCTTGTTATTCCTCCAAACTGACCCTCTACCATGGGCAAGCTGCTTACCCTTCCCTGTCCCTATTTCTCTAACCTCTGCCCACTCAATCCTCTAACTGACCCAGCAGCTCCCATTCTTGTGGACAGAATATGTGTGTCTTACCAGGGGCTGTGGAAGGAAATGCCAAGAGCAGACAGGCTACCCAGACCAGGACACCAGACCCAGCTTTGACCACTGTCCTCTGCTCCTCACTGCTGACTGTGGATAGAAGCTGCAGAAGTTGAAATGAGCACCTTGTTTGGAGGCAGGCTAACTTCATAAAGAAAAAGGATTTCTTTAGCTTACCATTTTGGAGATTCAAAGGCCTGACACCAGGATCAACTCAGCTCTGGAAGTGGGTAGTAGAAATGCATGCAGGAGGCAAAGATCATATTTCAGAGACGAGGAACTTGAAAGTGGCAGGCACAAGCCTTTCCAAGGACACACCTTTAATGACCTAAGGACCTCCTACTAGCTCCACCTTTTAAAGTTTCACCACCTCCCATTGCCACCCGAAGGACAAAGATTTTTTTTTATTAATTTTATTGAGAAACAAATAGCAATGAGACAGTTTCAAAACTGCTTAGTAGGACAGTTTCAATAATACATTACATATTGTTGTCTTCTTAGTGGTTATTCATAGTACAAGATGCAGATGTGATATCCTGTCCAAACATCTGTGACAAAACTAAACAAAAAAAAAGGGGATACAAATGAAGGACCATTTTGTATCTGCATATACAAAATAGTTACGATAGATATATAGTTACTTTTTTTAAAATTCAATGAGAAGAATTTGTACTAATAGGACCAAGATTTTAACATATGAAACTTTGTGGGGACAAACAATACTCAAACCACACTATTCTACTCCTGGTCCCAGGTTCAGACTCTCACAATGCAAGAAGAATTTTCGTCTTCAATAGTCCCACAGTCTTAACTTATTCTCATATCATTCGAAAGTTCAAGCCTGAAGTCTCCTCTAAAACTTGAGGTAAAGGCGTTCCACTTGAAGTCCCTATAAAATAATAATATCACAGACAGAAATTAAAAAAAAATAAAGTCATAACAATAAAAATTAAGCCTACATTTATAAGATACAATGGCAGGACAAGGAGAGGGTAACATTGCTATTCCAAAAGGGAGGAATAGGTAAGTCGAAAGGAGTAATTGCTTCAAAGCAAGACCGAAAAGAAAACCTTCAGGGCCAGCATTAACAACCTCAAACTTCTCAAATCTCAATAAGCTACAATGAACACAGCTAGCCCTCCAGAAGATTTTCTGGTTTCAGCCTGGTCATTGGTCCTCAGAGACTGATAGCTGTCAAAGAGCTGACGTCGCCCCACTCTCTGGCTGAATCTCCCATGAGGCTGCTGTCCTGCAGCCCCACCCACTTGAACTAATGGAAGGCCTTGACCTGGACCAATCACAGACCTGTAGCTGCTATATAAGAGGTATCTGCCTCACACCTCTTTAGCTGTTTTTCTAGGCTCCCTCTGGTGTACTCACCCTCCTGTAGTCCTGTTAAAGACTCCATCTGGTCCTGTAAATCTGCTCGCGTTTTATTTCTTGGGAATCTGGGCCCTGAAGAACCTAGTAGGATTCTTATCCTGAATAGTGTGGACAGATGAACCATTTCAAAGAAAGGGCAATAAACACAAGGGGCTGTCAGCCCTGAGGAGAACCAGAGACCAACAGCTAATGAAGATCAGCCACAGAGACCAGCACCTGTCAAAGTCTCATCTAGCATTACTAGGTGCCATCCAATGGTATCGAAGCCGCTATCAGATTTTTACTTTGCGGATTTATGATTTGCCATCTGAATGAAGCAAAATAACCCTCAGCTGATTGGTAACATTATCAGAAGTTAAAATCTGAGGGTGGCCCTATCCAAGGAGCTTAGAAAGCAATCTGAGCCAGTTATTGAAAAGAGGAGCACTTTTAGGCCTTTGAGTCAGTAAGAGGAGGGCCACACATGAGGAGGCTGAGATGCCTGTGGGGCGTCTTTCCTATTATGCTGAACAGATAAACTGCAAGGAGTTCCTGGGGATTGAACACAGAGCCTTCACACTGAATTGCATCCCAAATCCTCCCTCCTTCCATCCCTCCCTCTCTTTTATACTTCTCTCTTCCACCTTTCTTTTTCTTTCTTCCTTCTTTCCTTTCTTTCTCTCTCGTTTTTTCAGCACTGATCATTGAACCCAGGGCCCTGTGAATTCTAGGCAAGCACTCCAACACTGAACTATATTCTTAGCCCTTAATTTTTTTATTTTGAGTAGAGAGTCACTAAGCTTCCCAGAATGGGTGTGAATTTGTGATCCTCCTGCCTCAGCCTCCCGGAATGCTTGAATTATAGGCATAAACCATAACAATCATCCCATTTGTCTCATCTCAGTCCCAAATCTGAGACCTGTGTTTAAGACAATGAATCCCAGGTCAACACCACCAGATCCAGGTCCCTCTCTATTTCCTTGGGGCTGTTTCTTGTGCACTATCAGTTTTTGTATGCCTCCCCTCAGCTGTAAATACCTTCCACCTAAAACCACCCCAAAGCTAGATGTGGTGATGCAAATTTATAATTCTAGCACTTAAGAGGCTAGGGTGTCCTGAAAATTCAAGGTTAGTACAAATTCAAGGTCAATCCAGGGTACATAGTGAGTTCAGGCCCAGTCTAAACTACACAGTAAGACCCTGTATCAAAAAAAAAAAAATAAGTAAATACCTACCTACCTACTTACCTACATACATACATACATAGGATACCATACAACTATCCATGACCCACTTTCTCTTCTGTTTTTGCATTTGTTTATACCACCACAAACATCCTCTTCTATTGCTCTCTCTACTTTCTTTCCTGCCAATCTCTCTCAATTGCCCTGACCTAATGGTCAAGGTCTGGTGGCATTGGGAAAGGTGAATCTGATAGGAGAATGGAACTAAAGAGTCAAAGGATTCATGGGCCAGGAGTTGTGGGCATGGCCATGTCTCCCATTACCTTGCCATTTTCCTCTTCTCCTAAAGAGCTATGTGCCTACTACAGCCCCACCATGGTACTGGAACCTTCCTTTAAACATAGAGCCACTGTATCCATTGTCTTTGCAATCCAGACCCAAGGGTGGTGTTAGGGTAGAGAGGAGGGAGCAGAAAGCTGTAATTGGAAAAGCCAGGAGTGCTTCTCTGAAAAGGTATAGGGTGAAGGCCCCCACAGATGGGGAGCAAAGGTGATTTTGAGGAAAGTGGCGGGAATAGCTTGACCCAGGCAGGAAAGTGTGACTGCGCTGTTCATCCTGAAGGCTCTTTTTCAGAACATACATTTCCCTGGGGCCCCTTTAAGAGTTTCTTAATCTCTTTAGTTCCTGTGTGAAGTCCCATGCTTGCCTCTCCCTAGTCACCCTTGGCCCTGGCTTATTTGTAATTAAAAATATATTTTGTCCTTTGTTCCTTTTCTTGGAACATTTGAATGACTGTGACATTTCTGAGGTTGCCCCTTCAACCCATGATCAAGATTAAGTTCATAGTCAATTATTAACTGGAGAAATCTGAATTGATGGTGTGTTTGCCTGGTGCTGGGGAACTGACAGCCAACTCCTGGGCCTGCAGTTCTCAGTGAAGGGATTGAGGTTGAGAGCAGATTCTAAGGTGTCCTGAGCCTGCAGCAGTGGAGAGGGTAGCAACCTGGGTCTGGGGGTACCCATCCAGCCTGACCACCCAGAGGAATGGGTGTCATGCTCGCCTCAGATGACCTTACTCCCTCCCTCATGGCCTTGGCCTCTGCCTTCCAGTGCCCCACAGTGTCTCACAGCTCAGAACTGTCTGAGTCCCTTCTCAGGGCCATGGAAGGAGCAATGAGCTTTCATCTCTGTCTGAGTGGTAGGTGAAATAAGACTGCTCCCTCCTTCACCCTCGTCCAATCAGCAAGGCCTGTTGTTGACTCAGTGTCTGTCATCCAAGGCACTGTGGCCCAAGTCATGTTCCCAGCCCCTGTCTGGGCAGATGCAGTTGCTCTCTTCCTTGAATTCTTCTGACCTGATCAATTTCTAGGGTGTTGGTGCTGAGATCTCCAGCTCCTCCCAGTTCAGGTTCATGGTACACAGCTTCTTCCTAATTCTGGCTGCTGCCCACCACTGCTGGGGTGAATGGGGGTTTCTATATGCTCTGTCACTGCTGCACCATTGTTGGGAGACCCAGAACTTTTGTTGACCAAGGTAATGGTAAAATATGGAATGAATGAAATAAAAATCTCAGTAGCTTACCCATTGGGGTGGGGATATAAGTGGTTATACACATATATTTTATGTGTATATATATTCATATAGATGGAGGTTGAGAGAGCGAAAGAGAGAGAATGACAAAGATAAAAGGAGACAAGAACAGAAACAAAGAGACAGAGTGAGGGGAATAGTGAGAAGAGGAAGATGAAGCAGAGGTGAAGAGGCCAGGTAAGCAACTGCAATGAGATCTCACTACATGTTCAAATAGAATCAAATTTAAGACCCATATTCTCTCCAACACTTGAATTTATGGATTTAATTCCTAGAATTGTGGGAAAGACATGATTGATATATCAATACATGGAATGCTGCTCCACAATAAAAGGAAACAAATACAACTTGACACTGAGAAACATTAAGCAAAATCATAGTCACAATTACAGTGATAATTAAGCAAGGCAAACTATGTGATATTTAAACAAAGGCAAATGACAGTAACAGAAGTCAATTAGGTGGTTGCCATAGAGAAGGATTTAAGGAATGACTGACTTTACAAAAGAGCATGGGAAATGTTTTTGGGGTGAAAAAACTTCCTCATACTTGATGTGTCAGTTGTTGGATGCCCTGTACATTTACTCAAACTTGCCAAACTATGAAGTGAAAATGAGTGAATTTAATTGTAAACAAATTAATTGAATAGCTTTAAAAAAGTAAGACAACTACTAAAAGTCTAAAATAACAGGGAATCCACCTGAGGGGAGTATCCTGCGTAGCTACAGTGTGAAAACCATCCAGGGGGCTCTCTGCCTCAGAGACTCCGTAAGGCTTTCCCTTCACAGTGGAGCACTATCAGTGTGGGGGGCAGTATGCCAAAGAGGAAGGTCTATACCCTCTGCCAAATGAGTCAGCCAGTTTAAAGTTCTCCTGGTTTGCCTCTTGGTGTGCAGGGTGGACAATGTGAAAGTCTTCCTGAACCCAAAGGTCTAGACTTAAAAATCTCTGTAGTTAAGCTTAAACATAGTGGAAGAAAGAAGGGGGATGCTCTCCTTGGAGATATCAGTGCCCAGGAGGACAGGCTGGTCAGAGGTAAGGAAGTGAAGTGCATGCTAGGGTCAGTGGAATAAATGAAATAGCTTCTTAATGACAGAAAGAAAATGCACTGCGGGAACAAAGAAGCAAGTTGAGCTCACTTTGGCATTTTTACCCAATGAGCTAAAATAACTTACATAAGAGGGTTTTTTTTTTTTTTTTTTTTTTTTTTGTGGTAGCAGAGATCAAACTCAGGACCTTGCGCTTACCAGGCAAGCATTTATTCCACTGAGCTATCTCCCTGGTCCCATGAGAGGGATTTTATTGGAGATGCCAAAATGTGCAGGGACAATAATGAGGTAAAAAGAAAAATGAATCTCATGGACACTCAGGGTAAGTAGGGGATGTTCAGGGTTTTAGGAGGTTTCAAGGGGAATTCTGAAAAGCAGGAGGAGGATACATTCCTGGGTGGAAATCCTTCAGGGAAGCAGATAGGAATCTCTTCTCTGAGACCTACCTAGAACTTCTTGGCTTTCCAATCCCATGTCTAGAATACACCCTGGAGACAAAATCCTTTACACATACACTATGATGGTGTAGTTGTAGGCCTTAGAGTACTTACAGAACAAGATATAAAGAGTAAACTCAGGAGACATGGCACTGAGGAAACTGGCCACACTCCTGATGGCACAGACTGTGGGCACCAGGCTCACACCTGTTCTCACAGAATGGTACCAGGACACAAATAGATGGGTAAATGAAGTTTTATGATAATTAAAAACCTTAATCTACAATGGCAAGAACTGGGTTCAGAGACATCCCCATTTTTATTAGTTATTGCCTCCTGTTGCCCAGGGTGGAAAATGTGAAAGTCTTCCTGAACCCAAAGGTCTAGACTTGGCCTCAGTGGCTAAGTCCTTAATTCACATAGCCATTCATCCTGTCTGTGTGAATGTATGCAGAGTGTCTCTGAGAAGAGGATACACACTGTAGGGAATGAACATTATGCAACTGGTTCTTCCTAAATGTTGGCTAAGTGGATGGACAAAGACAGTATGAGTGGCTGTGTGAATGTGGAGTCAACCCAGACTCTTCAGTAGGTATGTGATACCACAGTCAGGTCTTAGCCTCAGTGGCTAAGATTTGAGACCATTGGGTGTGGTGGTCTGAAGGTTTACATCCCAGATTTTCACATATAGATACCAGTTTCCAGTGTGATGGCATTAAGGAGGGAAGTCACTAGGAGAGGGACGGGATTGGTGTCCACCAATAAAAGATGCTTGAGAGAGCTCTGTTGTTCTTTCTGTCTTACGGGGAAAGAGAGACAAATTACTCTGGAAGAACCAGAAAGCAGACCCTCACCAGATATCAAATCTGCTGGCACCTTTTCTGGATTTTGCAACTTCCAAAACTGAGAGCAATTAACTTCTGCCAAATAGAAGATCATGCTTTTAAAAAGTAGTATCCTGAACACACTAACACACTGGTATCTGGTGTCCAGATTTTCTATTAGCAATTTATAGACCTGATAGTGTGCGGCCTGCTGAGAGGTGGATGTAGGGTTCTGACATCTAAGTGAGCGCAGCATTCCTGGAGCACTTTTCTCAAAGTGGAGAAGATGTGGACCTAGAAAGGGAAGAAGACAGGGTGGAGAAAAGGAGAGCTGCGGAAGGGAGGAGGGGCCCAGGCTCAGTGGGTACAAAGGAAGGTGGCATCCACTGGGACTGACCCATCCACAGCTTCCTTGGAATATGCCAAGTGTCTCTGACAAGAGGATACACACTGCAGGGAATGAGCATTATGCAATTGGATCTTTCTAAGTGTTGGCTAAGTGGATGGACAAAGACAGGATGAATAGCTGTGTCAATGTGGAGTCAACCCAGAGTCCTTAGTAGGTATGTGATACCACAGGCAGACCACAACTTCATTCAAGACCACCCTCTCTCCCAACACAAAGAACTACAGTTCTGTGTGCTTCTCAGCTCTCTTTAGCTCCTGGATCTTCTGGGGCAGGGTCTCCATCCAGAACTTCATCCTAGAGGCCTTCAGGGCACGGCCCACAGAAGGCTGGAGGTTCAGTTGCAGGTACAACTCTTCGTGGTCCAGTGCAGGCCATTGGGGGAGGCCCTGGCCATTGGGGTTCCTGTGGAAACACCCTCCCAATATGGGGTAAGAGGTCAGTCACCCCTGGCAGAGCCTGGATTTCAGAGGCCTGATTTGAGTCAGTCCAGATAGCCAAGTTGGCCAGAGCACCAGGATGATGAGCAGGGGCTTTCCAGATACATAAATGCAAGGACTTCATTCTAGGGTCACATTTATTTGGAGCAGGGTAATGGCCCTCTCTCCAGGGCATTGGCAGAGGGATGAGTGATTGGCACCAATAAATCCTCTGTCTATATCCTTATTGGTTCTGTTCCCGGAGTTGGGAGACTTTTTTTTTTTTTTTTTAAATGTATTTTAGGTCAGGGTCTACAGGGTCTATAGGTTCTACATGGTCTCACTATGCAGATTGGACTTGTAGGGATCCTCCTGTTTTCAGCCTCCCAAGTACTGGGATTATAGGTGTGCATCACCGTGCCCAGTCTCAATTGCAGTCTCAGTGTGTGCCAGGGGCTGGGCAGGCATGGCATGCCAGGATTGAATCCTGGCCTCCACACTTTGCCTAATAAGGCACTTTAGTCCACTGAGCTATCTGGCCAGCCTTTGGAAGCTTTTATCATGTAACTAAGGACACAATTATGCTAATGAAGTTAGCACAGACAAAGAGCCTGATAAGTTCATACACCCTGGGAAGGTTGGGGGGCCATCCTCTCACCCATTTCGAGCAAAGTTGGCCCAATACTTCATCATCCTCTTGCTCAGCAGCTCCTCTTCCTCAGTGAGGTCAACTGCAGAGAGAAAGACAAGTACCCACATCCCCGACAGCATAGATTCCACTGACCAGGATGCCTAGAAGACCCTTCTTCCTTCAAGATCCCCCCTCCTTGCAAATATGGGGACAGATGGAGATGACAGAGGCTAGAGTTGAAGGGGCTTAGATTTTTAAATCTTAAACAAACTTTGAATTATAGTATGGTGGACACCTAATCCTTTCCTCTCTCTGAGCCTCTGAAAAGTGAGGGTTGTTACCCTTCAGGGACCTAGCTATGGCCCCATCCCATCTCTTTAAGATCAGGGAAGACTCACGTTTGTTATTCCAGAACAAGGATCCAAAGACAAGGAACATCTCATCACAATGGTCAGCCTTCACGTGGGGTGGCCTGGAGTATTTGAGGAAGTTAGGCCGATGCTGGAACTCATAGAAGTAGACTGTACCATGGGAACCTGGGGATGTGGACAGGCTATGATGTGGTAGCCTCTCACCTGGAGCTCTTCAGCTTCTCCTTGGTGACAAGACACTTTGTTTAATGCTGGTTGGATTCTAGACAATAGGGGAGGGACCCTGGACTGGCACAGGGGTTTGGGGAAAGATCTCAGTTAAACCAAAGCCTTGGCATTCCTAGTTGTATAGTTATTAGTCAAGAAACCGAATGTTACTAGCTCATTTTTCTCAACTGTAAAATTAGTAGATGTCAATTTGTTCAGTCAGGTACTAAAAAGTACCTAAAAGGGGAACATCAAGAGGTCCTATCTCAGCGATCTGTTGAAGATATGGTTCCATAAATGGATACAAGAGATCTCATGTTGGACCCAGAATGCTGAGCTGGCCCCTACGCAATCAGGCCTCAGTTATGGATGTACTCACGCTGAATTTGTGCTACTTGGAGTGCAGGGATCACAAAGATTGTATCTCCCATCATCTCTTGGAACTGGGCTTGGAGATACTGGGGGTCTTCATTGTTTCCTACGTATTCCTCCATCACTAGGTCTCCAAACTCACTGGGCAACATCTAGACCAGAGGGATCAGAGAGAGTGAGGCCATATAGCTCTGGGACAGGGAGACAGGAGACTCAGAGTGGGGAGATGGAGTCTAGAATGGAGCTGGGAATGCAGCAAAAGACGTTACCTATGAGCACACATATCTCAGCCTTTATTCATGAGGGTGGTCTCATGGCAGGAAATCAATCGGGTTGCCCAGCCCTTGTGGCAGAACACCAGGAACCTCACCATCTGTGTTGCTGTGTGCTGCATTATAGCCCTCATAGTCTCTCTATCCATTTTCCTTTTGCTGTCAACAGCATCCATACCCTAGGTAGCAGGGAGAAGATTCTCATGTCGGGTAGGTGAGCTTGAAGCTACAAACATCTGATATCTCCTTGGAGCTGCTCAGACATAGAGGGCTGGGGAATGGACCTTACCTTGGGGATGATCCAGCCAAACTCATCATTGTTGACACCAATGATGCTGGGGACAGATTGAAAATCAGCAGAAGCCAGCAGCTCTTGGGGGTGCCTGGGCAGGAAATTTCCATCCACTACACCAGCAATGACCTTGAAGGTCTGAGGAAAGAATGAAGGTCAGCTATTGAGGTCAAGTTCTAGAAAATTTCTGATGTCCTCTGGGTGTCTCATATCCCCCAAATGCCCATCTTAGAAGGTCCAATATCTGACTCTGCATGGTCTCATGTGCCAGGTAATATCTGGGACTATGAAACATCCTGCTGTGGAGATATACAGAATGTCCCTAGAGTGGCCAGTCAAGCCTTCCTGCCCCATGTACTATCACCCCCTTACATCTTGCCCAAGACCTTTCAACCTGACCTTGGTAATAGCTAGCATTTCCTCTTCACTTTTGCCCCGCAGGCACCGCACCAGGGCCTCTGAGTCTCCCTGTCCACAGGCGGACAGGTTGGCGACCACCTGTAAAGGGACCAGGCAGGGACAAGATCATCTTTCCAGGCAAGGAGAGGAGTATGCCTAAGACCCCATTAAGGTCCCTTAATCTCATAGGGTACTCTGTGTAAATCTGTGCAGGTATGAAATTGTTTAAGTTCCCTGATGCTCAGAGGTTTCATCCAGCCAAGCTATTCTTTCTGCTATGTGGTTCTGCCCACCATAGGCATCCTAGGGAGAAGCTTTGCTATCCACAGAACATCATCTACTGTGAGGCAGAGTTGCAAGGATTCTGACCCCTGAGCCCTTCAGTAATTCGCAGGAAGCTTGTAGTCAGGTCCCAAGATACCTTAACTGTTCTTGTTGTTCCCATTGAACAGCTAGAGTACCAGAGTTTCAGAGGTAAGGGGAGAGAGAGGAGTCTGGGCTGGGGTGGTTAAGAGCACTCACTGTAGAGACAAACTCAGATGAGCTGGAGATAAGGCCAGGCACCACAGCCACACCACTCTCCATGATGGCCCCATGGAAGAGTCCTTGGGACATGGGGGACAAAATATGTGAAGACACACTTGTGCCACCTGCAGACTGGCCAAAAATGGTGACACGGTCACGGTTGCCTCCAAAGTAGAAGATATTCTGTTGCACCCAGTGTAGGGCGGCCACTTGGTCCAGGTAGCCCCAATTTCCAGTGGCATGCTGGTCTCCAGTGCTGAGAAGTAGCAAGAACAGTGTTCACAGTCCTGCTCTGGTTTTGCTCAATCCCCATTTCCCACCCCAACCCAAGACTCACCTGAAGAAGCCCAGGACACCCAAGCGATACTGGATAGTGACCACTACTATGTTCTCAGAGGCTGCCAGAATGGATCCATCATATGAGGAAGCCATGCCTATAACTAGGGCACCACCATGGATCCATACCATCACCTGTAGATATCAAGAGAGATATCATGTGGGTCTCACCCAGCTCAAACCCTGCTGGGGTGACTCCTAGACTCTCTACTGCTTTTACTTGTGCAGCTACCAACCTAGTCAGAAGAACCCCAACAGGTGCCATGATCTGGGCCATGAGCGAGAAACTTAAGTTGGATCAGGAAGACAAGGCCTGTCATTTGGAATCAACTCCATATTTCAAAGCCTCACTCATTACTCCCAGAATCCCTCTAGGAGGGGTGGAAAGAAAAGGGGTGCTCCCTGATATCGCACATGAATATTAATCAAGGGTCTCTCCTTCTTATTCACACAACAGATAACTAATGGTTTGGGTCTTTGGCAGCCACAGAATGAAGCTCTTGGGTATAAAAATGTGTTTTCTGAACACAGGTTAGTTGACTGAATCCTGGGCCCACTTGCTATCCGTGGCCTCTGACCTTGGGACAATGAGGCCTCTGTGTTTCCATGCCCAGGGGCTAGCTGCCCAACATGGTGAGAAGATCTTCAGGAATCTAATAGTGCAGGGCTTCTCATCAGGGTTTACACTGCATCACAGGCCAGGTGGATCTTGATCTTTCTAATAATCTTCCGAATAAATGCCCTCCCACTCCTGACTGACCACACTCCATTACTCACAGGTAGGTTAGAGCCCTCTTGGGCTTGAGCAGGTGTGTAGATATTGAGGTACAGGCAGTCCTCAGACATGGGGATGGGAGGCATGGTCAGATTCAAGACATGCACTGCTAATACATTCATCTTATCAATATTTTGTAGACACCTGATGACAATGAGAACAGTCAGTCCAGTGGTCAAAACCAGACCCTGAATCCAGATTTTCTCCCAGCCACTCTGTCTCAGCTTCCCCTTATTTCCTGCTCACACATGACTCTTCCCTTAAGTCCCTGGTCACCAAGACATAGGCTTCAGACCCCGATGGGAAGTTGAGAAGGGGCCCAGACCTCCTGGGAGGGCTTAAGGTTACTGAGGGCCTTGGATCTTCCTGAAGATGGAAACTGTTATAACCTGTGAAATTGATTCAAGTTTTGTAACTCTGTATGCTTCCACTGTAACTTTATTAACTGTTATAACCTGACATATGCGCCGCCATCTTGTTCTGTATGCACCATTCTAAATGCTGTAACTTTCCAT